GGTAAGACGCACTTGGTCTTCTTAGGTGCAGAAGCCCACATGCAACCCACAGAGACTACATGTGCGGGGGCTCCTGCACCTTTGCACAATACAGGAGACAGACGTGCGTTTTACTGACAGAAGCCCTCAGCAGCATTTTCCCCTTCTGTTAAGTGACCTTTTGTTCCATTTGTTATTGCAAACAGATCCAAGCAGAATTAATTACAAAATATTTTTTATGCTAATTGAGAGGATTTCTAGGTAGATAGGAACATTCCTGGATCCAATTGCATTCCTTCATCCTCCACCTCCCTTAAATGTTGTCAATAAAAACACTAACCTTTCTAGGTAGCATGGTGAGAAGACATTATGTGATGAATATTGAAAATAAATGCATGAGGTAAACCTGCTGTTATTTCTGATTGTTATATGAAGCATGAATAACATTAATTTAAATGTTGGCAACCAAAAAAGTGCAAAGGAATAAGATAACAGTGTTCACTTCTGGTTAAAAGGAAAGACGAGAAGATGTTTCTGTGTTTTCTTCTTAACGACGACATTTTTTTTTTTCTTTATCATCATTTCCCATAGCTTATATGAATTTGGAGCTGGTGAAATATACATCTCTGCTGTATGTGTCTGTCACCAGATCAAGAGGAAAACAGAAACCTTTTATAATTTTGTACCCGTAGCAAATGTTTGTATTTTTTGAATTGGAAACAAACTGCTTTTTGTCTTCTGGTCCGACTAAAATTTTGTGTATTATTATTATTATTACCCTTTTGGAAAACCTGACATATGAGTTTATGCTGTTTTACAGTTTCTAAATAAATTCTTAATACATTGCCAACAAATTCAGCATCAGTATCCTATTTATTATTACATGTTATTAAAAAAATATTATGTCAAAGAAGACAAGGCACTCATGCAGGATGCATGCCTAGCTCCGGCTGTTGATACCTGCTTTATACCACAGTCAAGAATAACCTGGTAGCTGGAGAAAGCCAAGAGTCCTCCCTCAGAGCAACCATCCATGCCTCCACTTCAGACATACCCTGGATTCAGTGGCATGAAAGACCTCCCCTTCTCAGCACCACTCCATTAGCTCTGGCTGATGTTGGTACCTGGGGATGTGTTATTTAGCTCCAACCCATATTAGATGCTTTCAGTGATTTCCCAGTCTCCAGAAATTTTTGACACTGGAGTAATCAGAGCCTGGAAATAACTGTGACTCCAGTAGGATCCCACTGGAGAAGCCTTCAGGTAAGTGTAAAAGTCAGACTGGGCAGGTTGGAAAGCTTGTCTGGGCAGGCAAGACAAAACTTTGTAAGACAGTTTAAAACAACATATCATCTTAGAGTTGCACACCTCTGTCACGCCGATGCCTTGTGGGGGACCAAGCAATGCTACAAGAAGCAGCACACTCAGCTCCTGCAAAAAGGCACTCATAGACGCTATGCGACCTTCTTAAATGTCTGCTAATAAAGCAGAATAAAGCACGATGACACACTAACAGCAGTGCTGGGGTAAGAAACAGAAACCCAGCCGAAACAATCAGGAGTAAGTACAGACAAGAGTGTGGAGACACCATCCATCATGACCTTACTTCCCCCCCACACCCCCACAAGAAACAACAATGTGGTGTCAACTCCTTCTTTGCAAAGGGTTTGACTGGGAGGAAGGGTAATCACAATTGGTTTAGCATATGGGGAAATGGGAATAAAGCTAACTGTCACAGGAAAAAGCATACGAGAGAGAGCAGATGAGAAATCCTTGCATTCTTCCTTTACCCCTCATTCCTCTACTCAACTGCAGGTGGAGGGCAAAATAAGATGGTCCCTGCTCTCCCTTGCCCACCATCAATCAGTTATTCAGTCAACACTGGCTTTCGCATATCAGCACACACTCCAAGAGCAACACAGCTTGCTGCCTGAACATACACTTACATACTCTGTTAATTAATAACACATGCCAGCCCAAAGAAACACTAGGTGCACAAAAGGTTCTCAACGGTTTTGTTTGCCAATTGTTGGTTGTTACCGTTTTTGTTAACGCATCTAGTAACAAGGTAGGCCTGAAGGTGGCAGGTTGAACTGAGAACAGCATTCTACAAAGATGCAGCATGGCCAGCTCGAATCACTGTGGGGATTTGATACAAAAAAGCAACCTACCACCATATAGCAGAAACCTCATAATGTGTACACATGAATGTTAAGTGTGTAAAAAAAAAAAAAAGCAACATTTTGAATAAGCTTTTCTTTTATTTGCTTGCCTCAAGCTTTCACGTTCCACTATCAGCTTGGCATTTCAGTTTTCAACTTTTTACCTTAAGAACTGGATTTTTTTCAACTCTTCTTTAACAGAGCTTACAAGCTTGAGACCAGGACTGCAAAAATTAGACACTCCATTCTGACCAAGTTTCACTCCTTAATAGCTTTTGGGAGCTGTGGAGGTGGGAAGTCAACCCTTCAAATTGCCACAGCTGATTGAGGACATAAACTCCCACAACACATTATACCCAAAGCCAGCTGAACAAAACTTTGTCTAGAAGCGAGCACTGAATAACCGAGCTCAAGGATTAAACCGGAATTAAAAAATACAGGTTATCCCACAACATCTAAAGCCCATCCGTTGCCTCAACAAGTCCTGATACTCTGTACTCAATCCTGCTTAGTGATTACACCTTTACACGCAATTGTGATTTGACATTTCTCTAAGTCTACATATTCAGGATTAATTCCTGTTTGAATCTGCAACCAATACTGAATAAGAAATCAAATTACACAATTATGAAATATGATAATGGTATGTAGCAACCCAACTCTGCACACCTCTCTTCTTCCCACATGGCTCCAGTAACACTCCCTCCCACTTCTTACCCAGCTCTCGTTCCCTCGGGGCTCTCTCCCTCCTCTTCGAGCCGGCAGGGCACTTCTCCAGGACCTGACAGTAAGGTGGAAGGGATGGGGGAAGGAGCGTGTGAGAAAGCATCCCTTTCCCTGGTGTGGCTCTCCCTACCACAGAATACTTTCTTATCCTGAGAAGGGGGCAACCTCCTACTTGCTCAGGACTAGAGGCCACCTTGTTCAGGCTCCCAGGTGGCAGCCAGGGAGCACGCTTCCCCAGCCCGCAGGGGTACGCTGAATTTCACCAATATACCTAGAAGAGGTTTCTCCAGTAAGGGCTGTTTTGCTTCTCGTATAAACCTGCTTCACTGCCAGAGCTGTTCAAACAGGCTCCAGAGAACCTTACATCTAAAGACCACAGCATAAACTTTTTCCTCTGTTCTTTAACAGTTAACCTTATGTTATGGTTTGAGAAACCCACAACAACTTATTGTCGTTTACACAATTATTTTATCACCTGATGACCCTTCCTCCAAATCCCTTCTTTAGGAGGGAGCCAGCCTTTAGTAGTTTGGTCCTTGCAGAAACTGTTGCTGACCACCCAGGGAGAACCCAGGGAGCTGAGGAGTAGCATAAATACCAAAGGGGAATCGGGGAAAATATAAGGAAACTCGAGGGTGGAAATATAAGCAGATTTAATAGAATAAGACTAGATAATTAACATTAATAACACTAAAACACCAATATTGATCCCAATACCAATATAAAATATACAGGATTATACTCAGCCCATTATACCAGTAGGAAGCTGTGCAATCCCAGCAGTGGACAGCAAACATGGGACACTGTGAGTGCTACGGCTTCAAGAGGAAGGGAAGGCCTCAGGGGTCCGGCACTGGGGCAATAAGTTCTCAGGATCACAGCCATCGTAGGAGAGAAACACCTCAGCAAACTTTCTAGTTTACATTGAATTGATGTTCATGGTAGGAAACAATCCTGTTGGCTAGCTTGGGTCAAGTGCCCGGGTCTCGTTCCTCCTCATCCCTGCACCTGGCGAACTCAAAAACACTGAGACCTTGAGACCCACACACCACAGCTGGCTAGAAAGTAAATATTTTCACAAATTCAGACACTAGAGTCTTCTAAAAGTGCAGTTTTCCCAAGCATTAGAAGAGAAATCAGTCCTGTGTCGCTCGATGAGGACACCTTATTTTTGCCCCTCCCTAAAATATTCAAGTTCCTTTAGCTTGAGGTAGAACAGAGATGGCATTTTGGAAGATTGCTAACAATTGCCATTTCTAATGAAAACACAAACTTAAAAAAAAAAAAAAAAATATCGAGGACAAAACCATTCTTTCAGAAACACCAAATTACTGAAATCCAAATAGCACTAAAACTTCAGCGCTGACAAAGATTTCATAGAATAGCCTTACGAGGCATGGGAACACCGATCAAAAGCAACACAAGTTAATCACGAAAAACCAGTGGCTATTGCATGTCTTATGCCTCATTTGGCTCAAGTCTTAGATGTTTTTTGGGTTTATTGTTGTTATTTTTTTAAAAAAACAACCAACCCACCATTTCAAAGGTACTTACTTGGAGATCTCTGCAGAGATACACAGGTTATATCTTACCTGGGACAAAATTTTGGAATGAACATGAGATTTTCTGAATCTTAAGAGGTTTCACTGGACAGGAACACTGTTTGTTGTACAGTTCCACTATCAACTCATATAGATACCGAAACAGATGGATATCCGATAAGTGAGAATACTTACTTCAGGTTCACAGCAAGTAAGGGATTGCCTTTTCCACACTCCTTCCAAATGAAAGCAAAGAGCTATATATTTTAATCCATTAATTAATGGATTAAATTAATATTTTACTTCTAGACAATATGGTGATTCTAGGAAGTGAAATGCTTTCTTTAGCACGTATTGACTAATAAAAAATAGCCTGTGTAACCTTCTTAATAAAATGTGTTATTTTTATTTATAAAATGGTAAATTCTCATATTCTTCCCAAGGCAGAATGGAAGATAGAAAATCCTGCAACAACAAATAAGGTAAAAAAAAGTTAGGACATGTGGGGGGGGGGGAAGCTCCACAAATCTGTGCCAGTGGCAATGTGAATTCTATCTTATGCGTATTGTCCATTTCACTCTGTATCAGAAGTTCATTTGATAACTTTAGATGATTTAATTTTCTTTATGTCATAGCTTTGCAGAATCAAGGTCCCATCTCTGAATTTTCCAACTTGTCCTGCAGGCCAAATGCTAGGCACTGATTTCTTCCTTTTGGCCTTCCTGAAATAGGAAGGGACAAAAAAAGAATCAAGAGAAACACTAGAAACTCATGAAAATGCTCAATATGGTGAAAAATGTCACCTATTCATGCAATCGGTATTATGGAATATCACATGATAGCAGGTAACGACCGCAGAATATTTGTTACCTGCATAATCCTTCAAAATTGGCAGCACATTACAGAATAAATTACATTTTTTTAAGAAAAGTTTAAAAATAAAGACTTTCAAATAGAGAAAGAAGATAGAGTACATTTCAGTGAACCTGCTACAGTATAATTAAGAATGCCGCTTCACCTTTTAAGCCTCTATTTACCATAGCTTGTGTTTTGCTGAAATTCTTTCTTAGGGCTACGAGCAAGTGGCATATCCTGGGTCCACACACTCCAGCTGCAGTCTTAAACATGTCGGGGCAGAACTGACACGTTTTCAGTTAAGCTGTGTAACTAAAGACTCTGAAACTGCTAGACACAGAGCAAGGTCACCATTTTTTAACTATGAGTTCTTCTGCAGTTGGAGAAGTTCCTTCCACTGTGATCTCAATGACTTATGGTATAAGACTGTGCATAGGGGAAATACCCTGGGGAGGCTATAAAAAAGCAAGTTAATTTTGACCATGTTAAAAACAGCTCACCTCTCCTGTTCTTTCTTCTTCTTCTTCTTAAGAGAATCACCTTTATGTTCCTGTTTTTAAAGATACATATTTTAATGGAAAGGGAACAAAGCACCCTGGCTAAACAACCACCTGCACATAAAACACAAGGTAGCCTTTGCTTCTAGGAGCAGGAGGCATTTAAAGGAGGTTGTGAGACCTTCCGACAGGCCAAGTGATGCAACGCGCTACGGAGGCACTGCTAGGAGTGCCCAGAGCCCTTCCTGTCATGGAAAGTACAGCCCTCTCGAGATCAACACGCTGTCCCCACCATGTGAGGAGGCACCAATCTAGCCACAGGAGGAGAGAGGATTGCCTCTTGGGCGTGTGACAGATCCTTGGGTCAAAAGATGGACTTACTACCAGGCAGGTGTGCCTAGTCAAATGACTGAGCGTACCTGCCAAATGACAGGGTTTGCCCGTGTCTGGTCATGCAGTGGATGTACTTTGAGCCACATGACAGAGGAGGAGAAGTAGGTCCCCTGGGAAAGGGGGTGGCAGGAAACAGGCTGATAGAGCAATTACCCGCCCCGCAGCCCGCTCCCACCTACACGCGAAAGCTCCACGCGGAAGCAGGGAACAGGCTCGGAGCCAGATGGGCTGTGCTAGAGGATGGATGCAACAGAAACCTCACCCTTGCTTTAAATAGGGAGCAAGATGCTAGATGGAATTGTGCTGATACAAAACCAGCTGAAGATCCGGCTCTCCATGGTTAGACAACATGCAACAAATTGGAGGCCTTTTTTTTTTTTTCCCCCCCTTAAGAGGCAAGCGACAAAAAAACCCAAAACTGCTGGTTTTGTGTCATCCATCTATTGGCCTCAAAGGACGAGGCAGTGAAATCCATCACAACACAAACCTAACTCTGTGCTCTTCAGACTGCACACAACCAGCTTCTACTGATGAGATTAGTCCTGCTGGAGCTGGGAACCCACTCCATGGGGAGTGGAAGGTGTCAAGCTCAGGTACTCCTCCCATGCCTGAGGCATTATCTGTCAGGCTCTTGGACCAGCTCTTACGCACTGTCTTTATATAAAGAAAGTTTCACACAAACCTTCCCCTTATCATCATCCTTTGCTGCTTTTTTCTCTTTCATTTTCTCTTGGTAAGTCTTGTAGTTCACATGTTCCTTTTTAGGGGGCTGCAATAAAGATTGGGAGGGATACCACTGATTACATTTTCAAGTAGGTTCAAAAAATATTCACACGCTTGCATGGAAAATATCTTTCAGGTGGCAGCGGGAAACACTAGAAATAGTTTATTTCCTTTTGGGCAAGAGGAAGGGACTTAAGGGATGTAAGGTAGACACATAGGAACCGTATCTTTCTTGGTGGAGACAGTAGAGAGGGATGTTTACGCTCTGGATGAGTCCTACAAGGTTTCCACATACCCTCTGAGCTACAAAGAAAAACCTCCTCACCTCCCAAAAGAACCCTAGAAAATTATTTTTTCCTTTTACACTACTGATAAATAAAACTGAAAAGTTTTTCCTCCATCTTTAACACACCAGGAGAGCAAAGGTTTAAAAAGCAACAAACTCCCTCCAACAATTTAGTTTTGAATAGCCTGATTAGAAATAAGTAAATGTTGTTTACTACCCCAGTCAGTCGTATTTCATCTAAACAACATATCTGATAACACAACCATACTGATTTTGCAAATGTCTACAGAAAATAAACCAGGCAGAACAGAAAACGTAAAAATAAGCATGAGGTGGGAGAAGGATCAGAGCGGGAGATCTTGTGTTTTAAAGAAGTAGTGCCAACACACCCCTCCGTGTTTTCTTACTGCTTTCCTGCACTGTAACAGCTGGGTGACTGCCCAGCATAAACCAAGTGACAATTACCTTGGCTCCCAGCATGATAGCACGCTCCTGTTCCCATACGCGTTGTTCCTGCTTCTTGTAGCCAGTGATTCCAAACTTGTGCACTTCCAAACGAGCCTAAAACATTACAGAAAATTGCAAGCATTTCATAATTTGTCCACCCTGCTGTAAAATAACGCTTGACAGACCACAACAAAGTCATAATCCCAAAGAAACCCTGGGTAATCCCCGAAATCAGCATGTGATAAAATAAAACTAACTGAGTTTGGAGCTATATGGCAGAACAGTTAACCACTATCCATCTCACCTCTGGATGGTGAGGACTGTCATGGGGAAAACTTGATTCTCTTCATTTCACATAAAACAATACATGTAATGGATACCTTCTATAGAAAAATGTATCGTGTGCTGCACAAAGAGCAACAACGAAATGTGCTACCCACAGCACCCAACATTTACAGACCATCCTCGTTCCACAGCTGCTGAGCACTTAACCAGTGAGAAACACACGTGGGCAGATGGTGAAGTGCTTTGACTACCTACATATGTATAGCTAATGCTATACAAGAATACCCTGGCAAAACCAGTGGTGAATTTATACTCCTTTTAAAGGCACTGGTTAAATCCTCACTGTTCCCAGCAGGACGGAGCTCCATGCAGCACCTCCAGTGAGAGATTTCACTGGATCACAACATGCCCCTGAGCAGAGATCAGGCATATAAAGCAACTTGCACAGATCTGTAAACGAATCGGTATCTAAGAAGGCCAATGCTAGTTATGCTCATATAAGAACACATGAGAACAAGAAGACAAATGGAAAAAAAAAGTAATCTGATGTTTCAAAACCAGATGTTAATATGCTTTTTTCCGCCCTCCCACACAAGATCAGAAATCCAAGATTAGCACCATGGGCCTGAAAGAGCTATGCTGTACATTATGGGCACTCACATAGCTAGACACAGTTAATATTCAGTGATCCTCCTCAAATTCTCCCCAGAAGACCAGAAAGAAAGGCCACAGAGCTGTAACATGCCTCTCTTCACACAGAGCAGTTGACAACTTCAGGCATGCTCCTCCTTTGGCATGGCACACAGCCAAAAATTACCTATTAGGAAATCCTCACCTCCAAGAGATAACCTTTTTTAGAAGTGTTTCTCATCGCTCCCACCGTAGCTTTCCCAAGTATAAAAACACACACACCTGCACACTAAAATATTGAGATTCGCTAGGTCCCACGGACTCACTTTTTCGAAGTTAAATTCTTGTTCGTTCACATTTTTGTCTTTGTCCACAATTTTTGTCTATAAACAAAATAAAACATTTTGAATTAACAAAACAAGTAACACCAATTTAAATGCTGATTGTGATAGCTTTTTGGAAAGCAGTGAAACATAAAATGAGTTGTAGGGAAGAGTATACAACTTTCCAGCAATATCTTTTTCTAGCTTTATTACCCGGATTTATTAAAAGAGACAGTCTCAACAGCATTTTTAATATGTAGATATTATAGGGTCTTAGCGGAACAGTCTTGCACAATTTATAGGGTACCATTATATAACAGCGCATACAGCTTTGTCCTGCATTTTCTTGCCTGGATCATCTGCTAACATTTACAAAGAGTTTCATAATTCAGAAAGATATTGATAGCTGCAATTAATTTTTATACTTTCAAGTATAAATTACATTTCATAAGAGGAAAAACTGCCACATGTGAGCCACGCATCATGCACATTTCCATTTCCAAATCCATACCGAAGTGCTAATGCAGGACAGAACACAAACTTTAAGTCACTTTGTTTGAGACAGAGAGTGCAGTGGTAATAGTGCATGTACCAACAGCCGGTGGCAACATGGGGGACAAGCTTAATTCACAACTGCACAGACATATATTAGCGCACAAATCCACCTTAACTAATGCAAGAGAAACAACTCCAAAGGAAACGCTGTCAGCAAACAGCAGACCCCACTTAATGCTGTTTAAAGAAGCTATTTGCTCAAAATGAGATCAGTGAAAACTACATCTTTTCTACTCCGTGATGTACATGGAGACCTTCCATCAGCAGTTCTCAGTTTGGAGGGCAACTTTCCAGGAGGACAGACAGTATCCTAGGAAGAAAAAGAAGCGCAAAAACCCCAGGAAGAGCTCCACGCCTGCTTGCTACGGGGGTGTCTCTCATGGGACACTTCAGAGCGGTAACAAAACCTCCCAGGGTTATTTTAGACTGTGTCTGACTCCTGATTTTGGGGAAGATGTGCTGAACCACCTCTCTGAGCAGATGCTCCTCCAGCTCCCAGGCATCCAGATGCAGGGGGACAGCACAGGCAGGGAAACCACGATCTTGTTCAAGAGAAGCATCCGCTCATCTTTCCCTATT